GGTAATAAAATAGTAGTTTTATTAATTTGTTTTGTGAGACTTGCAATTAAGCTAATTTAGATTTTGACGCAATACCTCATATTTCAATCAAATATTTAACACTCAAACAGACAAAAAGTTAATAATTTTTTTTTATATATTTTACTTATACCAAGACATTCTTTAGACAACATTGATCGTTTTATGTGTTTTGTTATTTCATTTTAAATATGAGTGATATCACAGAAAAATACTTCCTTTAATTTTGCGTTAACACATTTTTATTTGCTTTATTTGTAATTATATAATCAAATCTTAGAATTCAATTTTAACCTTCTTCTAATTGTCGTATCGATGTGAATATTTGCCGTATGTAAAATCTGGATTGCTGCACAAAAATATTTATTAATACTTTCGAATTGATATGGTTATAGAGCCAGGAGATGCACATAAAAAGTGAAACTATATAATGGTTACTAGAAAATATTGAAATTTGGGCTCATTTGTTTCGTTTTGAGGGTTACCATATTTTTCATCTCTTTATCAGTATATAAACACAATAAATTTTTAAGAAACAAATTGAATTTTTTTTCAATAATCCATTTATTGATAAGAAATTCAATTTTCTAGTAAACAGTCGTGTCTAATGGCAAATAAAGAGCGTTCTATTGTTATATTAAACATTGCACTTTATATATATATCTTAAGGATTTTAAAGAATATCTGTAAATAGAACAGTAATGTGATCTATCGAAACTATATACTAGCAATGTCCATTGGATTGACAATAAGTGCTATTGTACACGCATTGTCGCCATTCAGTGACCCCACTTGCACGCAACAGCCAACAATAGTAAATGAATACATTGGTTGCAAACCGGAAGATAGAATAAGTATTTCACTTCTAAAAGGAGAGATGTTTATCAAGTTTCAACTATTGATTATATGCTGTAGCATTATTCTGCCTTAAGCAGCCACTAGGAATTTATAGATTACTAGCATTGCCCGCGGCTCCGCCCGCATTCAGATGACCAAAAATCAAATTCTTAGGTTTTAGATATTAGTATACTCTTACAATGCACTTTTTGTATTTTTTCTCAGAAATTCGATATTTTACCGCGGTAAAAAGTATCCTATATGTTGACCCGGATAATCAGCTATCATCATACCAAATTTCATCAAAATCTGTCCAGTGGTTTTCTCGTGATGCGGTAACAGACAGACAAAAGTTCTAAAAACTGTAGATTCGGCCTCTGTATCGATAAAAATGACTACTTCAATAAGATTTTCCAAAAAATATTTAATGTACAGATTCGACTGAGTTAGAATTTTATTATATGTATAGATTTTAGATATATGTACTCGTAAATACGGTCTCGCGGCCAGCTAGGTTTGGTACGTCATTGAATATTCAGTTTCTTTTTTACAATTTCTATTTTTAACATAGAAGACGATTTCACGGACCATCGTTTTGTTTATTAGTTTACAGTTATAGTTACATGTGTAATGTTGTATTTTTATATATTGAGTGTTTTAATAGAAAATAATATATTTGATTAATTTGTAATGATTTATGTATAAGGCATTTACTTATGTGACCTTGGCGGATAGGAATGTGTTTTAAAAAAAATAAAAAAGGGCGCGGATATTCATTTGATTTCCCGCGCTTTTGCACAGAGATGGCGGTACCACCCTGTAGGTCACTACGAATTGTTTGTAATACTGAAAATTATGATTATTAATTATGTAAGTCACTGATGTTTATAAAAGTACTGAATATAAGAATATAAACAAGGAATATCTTGAAGTTTTATTAGGGATCCAACACATGTGTGAAACATTAAAGTCAAAGTATATAAAAGTGTAAGTGCAATATAATATAAAATAATGACTATAAATAATTTACAATTGCCATAATTAATTAGTGAAACGTTAAAAAGTGTTCGATTTTATTTGATTATAAAAAAATATTATACTTTAATATCCGTTTTCCTTTTTTTTTTTTTTTTTTTTTTTTTTTTAACGTTGGCTCCCACCGCCCACCGAAGTGGGCAACCTCCCTGTGCGTTTCTTAGCTTCGCTACTACTACTGAGCCCCCCCACCACGACAAGGTGAACGCACGTTGGGGGGGAATATCCGTTTTCCTAATTTAACTTATTTCTTATATATTTGTATATTTAACTTAACTTCTTAACGTTATATTGGTATGGTATGGTATGGTATGTTCGGGCTGGTTTCCGCAACTCGACGACTATGCGCCTATTTTGCGTGTGTAACGTTATATTATAATAAAATCAGATTCAACTATGCTTTTGAATAAGAAGGTTACCGGTTACCAGCGTTATTAAAAAATTTTGAACGGATTTTACATAGCCGATTATACAATTATGTACTTAAGCGATATACATTTTCTATTTTGTATTTGAAAGACAATATGCTCTCTGCTACTACTACTTTCTGCAGTCATTGATTTAGTCAAAAAAAGACATTGATAAAAAATCGTATTAGGTATATTTAATATTTATTGACCTCTAAAAAGCTTTTGACACCATATCGTACGATCTATAACTACACAAGCTAAATCATATAAGCATTACTGGATCAGCCTTCAATTACTAGGATCTTATCTTAAAAATAGACAAAAAATAGTAAAAATAGAAAATAACAGTAGTAAATCTTTAAATATCACTTGCGAAATACCTCAAGGTACATTTTTGGGTCCGTTGTTGTTCCTAATCTACATCATAAGCTTATTACTTCATTATCATCATCATCATCATCATCATTACTTTATTAATATTAATGCATATAGCATTAAAGTGACATTGCATGCTGACGATACATATTTATTCTATTACATTGACTGCAGATATTAATTAATGAGAAACGCCTAGCAAGACTAATTAGTTTTAAATGAATGGTTTCGACAAAATTTGTTAATTATTATAAATGTTTAAAAAACCTCATACCTACATGATTTTTTATGCAACAATAAAATATTCCTAACTTTGCTCCCTTAAATGTTAATCAAGTTACGATTCGACAAGCACACCTAGAGTCAAGCGCGGATCCAGGGGGGTGGTCATGAGCCAAAACCAAATTACCTTTTTAAGAAGTTTGAAATTTAAGAAAAGAAGGATTATTACGAAATTATTTTTTTAAGTACTTAATTAGAAACAAATTAAGTTTTTATTCGTTATTAAGTTTTTCTTTAATTTAAATATGCGCTTTACAAAAAATTCGTCGTCCGATCGCGATGCGCTAAACAAAAAATTAAAACCTGAAGTTTATTTATTTATTTTTATTTATTTATTAGGAAGCCTACGTTATATACTAAGAATACATTTTTTAACTTATTATAGTTATACATAAGAAAGTGTTACAAAGTATATCACAATTACAGGCTAACTTAACATGTATAAAATAATTGTTAAACTAAGAAAAATGTTATTGTTGTTGCTCAATTATAAGTTTAATGTTTTCAAAACATTAGTAGGTATATAAGATTTCCGGGTTACTGTAACATTACAGAGATGAAAATGCCAGTCGATGCAAAGCAAATCTAATATATTTCGATACGTATTCAGCCCTTTTTAACGTCCCACTGCTGGGCACGGGCCTCCGTTCAATACGAGGGGGATCAGGCCATAGTCCACCACGCTGGCCAAGTGCGTGTTGGCGGACTTCACATGTCTTTCGAAAACTTGCTAGGTTCTCTCAGACATGCAGGTTTCCTCACGATGTTTTCCTTCACCGTATGGCAAGCGGTAATCATGTTAGAAATGATTCGCACATGAAAATATCAGAGGTGCGAGACCCGGGATTTGAACCCGCTTCACTCGGTGTCCCAAGCGATTTCGATACGTAAAATACATATTTACCAATTAGATATTCATATCTTAAAATATTGTCGGCAGGCACCGACTTCGAAAATATCTGATTAGGTATCTATTCTAAATGAAAACCTCCGTTTAGTTATTTTTTCCATTTTAGTGCCTGGAAGTCGGTTTTTTTTTAAGTTTTTATTTATCCATTTTTAGTATAGACGTAATAAGCAGGTTATTTGTAAGAAAAAAGTTTTTAATAACATATTCGCTTAAAAAAATTATTTCAAAAATATATTTACTGTCGATTTTTAAAAAAAATCGTTCGACCGATTTCGATAAAATTTATATGGGTCATTGGACACTTAGGAAGTATACCCTTTGAAACAAAAAAAATTCACAACATAAAAAAAAAGAAAAGAAGATTGCTACGAATTGAGAATCTCCTTCTTTTTTTAAGAAGTCGGTTAAAAATCGGTTAAATACCTTTCATTGAAATCAGAAGACAAGTTGCAGTGGATTGTTGTTAAGTGAAGTTGCTATCTGGTATCCATAACACAAGCCTCGTAGCTTACCATGGAACTAGATGGTGCTGTGTGTTAATGTCCCAACGTATTTATTTATTTATTGTTTGTATTGAAAAGTATGTGACTCTGCCCACTAGACCGTTCCATCACCGACTGGATGTAGTATAATTCGTATAAAATTTTTGTATTACAATTAGAAATCTTTGGATATTTGTATATTGTGATATTGTGTACTAATATAGTGACCTATAAGGTAGACGAAAGGTCATGAAAAAAATATATTCTATATTAAAATGATTGAAGAGGAAAAAATTGTTTACACTTCAAAAGCTCTGAAGTGCTAATGAGGCTGTGATGGACAAGAGTCATTGGTGAGTAAGGCACTGGCGCCGTGTCAAGCATCGCCGGTTCATATAAACGTGAACACTGCGCGCGCGCCACTCAGTGGAAGAAGTTGAGCGTTCGATCGGTGTCGTATTATATTGTAAGGCGCTTTGCGCACGCGCACTTTGGCCGTAGAGCCAACTCCGCGATTTATTAAGTTTCTTTTTCAAAAATATGATTTTTACATTGTAATAAATTTTCGTCTTTAAGACGTTGACGTGGACTCTAAATTAAGCTATCATTTTTAATTGTTGTAATTGTTAAGTAAATATTTAAAACATCAAAATGGTCAGTGGAAATAAAAATCCTGATCCCATGAAAATACCACCTAAGGACCGTGTGAAGAAAACAAATAATTATAAACGAGCCAACATTTTCTCAAAAATATGGTTCATATGGATGATGCCTACATTTTGGCGCGGCTTTAAGAGGGATCTCTACGATTCTGATCTTACCAAACCCAAAGATAACCACCTATCTGACAAACTTGGAGATCGACTGGAGAAGTGAGTTTATTTATTTTTTAAATTAGTATAAATAAATATAAAGCATTCTAAAATTTGGAACTTGTAACATTTTGCAAATGTACATAAATTTTTGTTAGTAAAAACACTTATATACTCATACTTTTAAAATCAATTTACAGTTGTTGACCTTTTTTGCAAGGTTATGTACAAATAACAAATAGTCCATGTGTGAATCGGAATATTTTAATAAATGCAATTATCGATACATATTCCATATTTTAAAAAGCGATGTTATTTTCGCTGGAACTTTTTATTAATTTCTTATTTATGGGCAGTTCTAACGAAAGCCTTCTGAAATTATTACATAAAGTATTGATTAAAAATTTAATTTATTGAAATATAAAAATAGAAATATTAAGTAAGCTCAATAAATTTATATTTGCGTTAAAAATGAGTGGGAGTCTTTTTAGGTAGGGTCTTTTTGGCAAAGTAATTTGTTTATTTCCAAGAGAATTGTACGCTGTAAAGAAAATACAAAATTTGGATTTAAAGCGTTCCTAATATATAAATAATATTTTTAATATGTCCATTAAAAAAAATGTTCTCAATTTTTTCAATAATTTCAAAAATTTAATACGATCATCATATTTTAAGTACTTAAAATTATCGTACACTCAAAATCATAAATCGCAGAGAGTAGACAACAAAGTTTAAAATGCTACATCTTAGTCTGTAAAGTAATTATAGAGATATTATTAATTTAACTTATTTAATATTAAATGTTCCGGAAGAAAAGAACCAAAAACTCCATTCGTTGCTTGGTTTAACACAATTAAATAAAATTAACATGAACGCCGTTAAAGAGAATCATTTGAACATTTAAATTAATTATATTATGATATATTAAACATACATATTTAGCACAAATTAATAAAACTAATATGATTCGTTAAGTAGTATAAGAATTCGTCATTTTATAAATAGGACTGACTGCAACTGCTTGCGCATTGAATTTTGTTAAGTTCAAGTTTGGTGACAAATCTGACTCGCGATACAATATGCCTGCTATATATACATACATATATGTACTAGCGGCTCACCCTCGCTACGCTCGGGTTCATCACTAGGTACATTTTAACGGTTAGTATGGAATAAATAGGCTGTATATCCATATTACTTAATATTACAAATGTGCAAGTGTGTTTGTTTTTCCTTCTTTCCTGTCAAAACGGAGTTAGGGATTGACGTGATTTTTTGTGTGAAGATAGTTGGAGGGCTGGAGAGTGACATAGCCTACTTTTTACCGCGGGAGATGATCTCCTTCCCACAGGAAAACACGTTATAATACAACCCAAAAAAAATATTTATGATCAGAATTCCTTGAAACTTGGTATTAATGCTCTTCAATACAATTAAATAAATACATGTTTTAACATTTTTCATCCCATAAGGGCGTAAAATAGGGGATGAAAGTTTGTATGAAATCTACCTTTTTAGAGTTTATTTATAGTTTTAGCGCGAGCGAAGCCACGGGTTCTGCTAGTATAATATACATATTATAGACATACATAGGTATGATGCGTTGTTATGGGTTGTATTATAACGTGTTTTCCCATGGGAATTAGATGATTCCCCGCGGTAAAAAGTTGCCTACGTCACTCTCCAGTCCTCCAACTATCTCCATCATCATATATCCACACAAAAATTCATGCCAATCCATCACTCTGTTTTGACGTGAAAGAAGGACAAAGAAACAAACAAACACACTTTCACATTTATAATATTAATATGGATGTATACGTTGCAGGCATATCGTATGCTTCGTTTTTACTGCTACTTTTACACAGTATAGTGTGTAAGTATATAAATTAGGTATTAAATTATACTACATTCCAATATAGTCCCAAAAAGAATCGCTATTTTGCACCTATTATATCTAATCTTAATAAAATGTAGATATTACTTAAAATTTCTGATCTGTGAGTTTATACAAACTTTTAGAAAAAAATACTTTGAGCTATTTCAAATTTCCCAACTTTCTGGGCCGCTTTTTAATGTTTTTACTTCTTATTCTAAAGTCATCAAGCCGTTTTTATGTGATACGCTTACCAAATAATAGCAGTTAGTTTTTGTTTGTATAATTTGTATGACGTAAATATCAAAAATATTTTAATTATACCGCCTTTACGAATAACGAACGAAGGAAAGCAAAAGCTATATCTCTAACCGTGGACAATGGACATGCATAAAAAAGTCGTGCGTACATCTTATAAAATTAAATGAGCAATTCTTGTATTTTAACGATTTAAATCAAATTTTGTATTTAGATAATTTGCTTTTATTTTATATACAGTTAGTTTATATACAGGTGTCTTTTCTGAAAAAAACGCACGACTTCCAAAAATGAATAGGTTCTCAATTAGTCGGAATCTTTTTTTTTATATGTATGTTCACCGATTACTCGAAGAAGCCGATTTTGATTTTTTTTTGTTTCGAAGGGTACTTCCCAGGTGGTCCCATTTAAATCTTATATAATATCTATATTATTTTTATATATTTAAATTTTATATAACTTTCTTCTTACAAATAACCTGCTTATTACGTCTACACTAAAAATGGAAAAATAAAAACTTAAAAAAAACGACTTCCACGCACTAAAATGTTAAAAATAACTAAACGGGGGTTTCCATTAGAATAGATCCTAATCAGATATTTTCAAAGTCAGTGCCAGCTCACGCAAAGCAAATCTAATATATTTCGATACGTAAAATACATCACAAATTGATGTATAATATTTTAACTATAATTAGAGTTCATACGTAATCATATTTACTATTTAAAGATATTCATATCTTAAAATATTGTCGGACGAATAGAGAACCTCCTCCTTTTTGGAAGACGGTTAAAAAACGCAATTATTCACAAATAAAAATTATAACTAATTATTATTAGAGCCTTTTTCTATCAGTTCTTATGATGATAATGTCATATAATGCCATCTTGTAAATTTTTGTGGTACTTGCATTGTCGCCAATATCGCCTATTGAACTAGTGCCTATGCCGAGCGAAGTTCAATCGCCCAGGCACTTTTATATCAAAAGGTAAAACACAATTTTTTTCTATACAAATCACTTTATCCAATTAAATAAAAACATGACAGAGGTATCTAATACCTCTAGCATTCCATCGTTTATTATTATACACATATATAGTACCTATTAGTTCTGTTTTAAAATTAAATTAATTAATTGGCCTAATAGTAGGGGAGCCCAAGAGGGGATTTTCTGTAGTTACTCGAGCGCGGCAGATTAATATACAGGGGGATACCTTGTACCCGGTTAAGTACCTCCACAAAACATGAGGCCCATATATAAGGCCGCCCGTGAAGGATACAGTGTGAAGTGAAGGAGTGCCGGTATTTCGGTGCGCCGTTCTCCCTACCTTCCGCGGCCTAGACGGGGCCGCCACCGTTTGATGGCGGACGCGGTGGGGCTGCAGGGGAAGAGGAGTGTCGGTGTTTCATTGCCGCTCTCCCTGTCCTCTGCAGCCGATTGGAGGTGGCCCACTTCGGTGGGTGGTGGTTATGTTTAATGGGGCTGCTCCGGGTACCTCTCTGGCGTAGCAGAGTTGACTGTGGAGCAGCCCCATTGGTGTGGTGGTCGGCCTAGCGTTTAGGCAGACCTGCCGCTGGGGCGCCGTAGTAGATATGCGCAAGCGATCCTGCGGCGTCCCATTAAGGCGGAAGGGAGGGGAATGTCGGGTTTTAGTGGGTAGTACCGGCTCTTCTAGCCGGTGAGCCCCACATCACCACCTGGGGGATCAGGTGGTATGCGTAAATGCATTTCCCGACATAAAAAAAAAAAAGGTAGGGTGAGTTAATTACATCCTAAAAAGTGTATATTCCACTAATCTGACAATTTGAGAGTGACGTAAAAAAAGGGGAGGGCAACAAAGTTGTAAAAAAAAAACTTCATCTCGACATTCTCGAGCGTAGCTAATTTTTTTTTTATTTTGAAGGAAATAATGCAAGAATAATGAAAAATATATAATCTGACGATTTCCGCAAGCCGAAATAACAAAAATTCGTCGATAAAGTTAAATGCGTGCAGCTGCGTGATGCCTACATTTCCTTCTCCGCGTTTCTATTCCTCTCTCACTCTTTCTCTATCTATTACTCTCTCACTCCGTCCCTACTCTGGTTTTTGCCGCCATGACACCATCACAGCTGATCATAAAGAGTCTAGGGGTGTGCGAACATCGTTCGAATCGAATCGAATATCAATATTCGATTCGAAATTCGAATAATTCGAAAGTTTTCGAATAATTCGCGAATTAATGAAATATCTCTGGATCTTCAATTGTATCCATTTAAATTCCTTCAAATCGTGTGTCAAAATAGTCTACTTACGAATAATATACTTTTCGTTTAAAAATAAATTACCCAGAGAAAACAATTGCTCATTTTTTAAATTTGCAATATATGTTCGAATTATTCGAAATTTTTCGAATTATTCGGGAACTTTCGAATAATTCGAATTTTCGAATTATTCGATTCGAGTTTCGAATCGAATATTAATATTCGATTCGGAACGAATAATTCGTAAGTTCGAATTATTCGCACATCCTGTTGTATTAGTTTATCAACCGACTTCAAAAAGGAGGAGGTTCTCAATTCGACTGTATGTTTTTTTTTATTTTTTATTTTTTTTTATGTTTGTTACCTCAGAACTCCGTCATTTATTAACCGATTTGGACAATTTTTGTGTCGTTTGAAAGGGTATACTTCCAGATTGGTCCCATTTAAATTTCAAAAAAAAATACCACCCCTAAGGGTGGAAAAACTACTAATGATGAATTTAACCTACTTCTAATTGTCATATTGACTTGAAACTTTGCAAGTATTTCTAATAATATTTTTTTTTGTCAGATCAGGCGAATCCCTCTAGATAATCGTCAGATTATGAGACAGTACGTTTAGAACATAAAGATGAACCATAGATATCTTAATCTGACGCGCTTGAGTATTTCAAAATGGCGATT